GTCTGTGATAATCTTGGTGTTAATCTCTGCTTATCTGGGTGATGATTGCTGGTGAGGAGATTTTCTGGTCTTTTGTCTACATGGTATGTAGATGTAGAGATAAACAACATCTACATACCATTCAAAAGAGACAAAAGACCAGAACATCTCGTCACCAGCAATCATCACCCAGATAAGCAGAGGTTACCACCAGGCACATAATCAAGCAGTGAGCGATACCCTAATCAAGGAACTACCAGAGGAACCAAACAAAACCCCCACCCCCACCGACATTGGCAGGGCACGCAAGAGTATATAAACAGAGGGCAAACCCCATCCCATTCCAGCACTGAAGATGCTACCTAGCTGGGTAATGAAACATTTGCAAGAAAAGGAACAAGCTCAGAGGACCCCAAGGTCTCCACATGGGTTGATATGAATAAGTTTACAGGACTTTTCTTCTTCCCCTAATTTTCCCCACCTTTCTTTGTAACACCGAAATCTTCTTTACTTCCTTTCCTGACTGTATATGACCTGGGACCCTGAGAGTCACTGCATGAGGTCCAAAGTGGCCACCAAACGTCTGAAGTCCCGGGAAGATCAACTTAATTTTTAAAACTTAACCCTAAGTTTTGATTGAAGCAAATGTTTCCTTGCTTCTGAAGTAGCTGCCATAGATACTGAGAGCCAGATGGTCAAGATGACTCTCCCAGTGTGATGTCAGCAATGGGACCATAAGCAAAAATAAAGTCAGCTGAAATAATGAGAAAAATTTGCATATTTTATAACCAAGAAACGCTGCTGGGAATATGGGAGGCTGAAACTAAAACAAATAAACCTCTTTCTGTGTGATATAAAAGATAGGCAAATAATATAATGTATTACTTGCATTTTATTAGACCGTAAAACAATATTTTGAAAAAAAGAACAGACAGAAAATATCTCTCACCGAAACTGCCCACATTTGTCCAAAATAAAAAGAAATAAGCTAAGTAGGATCAAAAAACACATATTTAGGAGAATACCAGCGAAGAAATTCTCCTGTCCTTTTTTTCTACCTTTCTTACTCAATGCAATGGGGAAAAAAACAACAACACTTTCCAGATTTCGCTCAAAGCAGAAGTGTGTGCTCCATTGCACAATATTCTCCAGCACTCTGCAAGCTCTGGGGCTTCCCACCCGCCCATTCAACTCCAAGAGTTGAATCCTGTGCTTGAGAAACAGCCAAACCACCGATCAATCTGGCCTGTCCAGCTGCTCAGGACTGTGGGAAGAAACACAGAACACAAAGTTCTGAGGCTGCTGCCACAACCCTGGAGAGCCTGGGCACTCACAAGGGCCTCCCCCAGTGTGCCCCGTGACACAGTAGTGCAACGGTGAGGGGTTCCAATGCATGAAGGTCTGGGGGAAAAGGCTTGTTCCTAGCACCTGCCCCTTATTTGACTGCGGTTTCCAAACCGGGCCTCAGAAAATACCAATGAATTCGTACAGGGATGAGCGGAAGACCAAAGAGCTAGTCCAAGAGAGGAACCACAATCTCACCCTTTAGCAAAGACTCAGGGCCAAGAGCCCGGTTGTGCTGCTCTCCAAATGGGTCGCCCAGTTACTCAGTCTCTTCTTACCATCTCAGAGCAGATGGCAACGTTAAGAAAAGAGCATCCTATTATGTTAGTGTTTCTTCAACCCTGGGAACTTTAAGATGGGTGGACTTCAACTCCCAGCTGCCGGTGATAGTCGAGCCAGGGGTCCAGAGGCAGCTGCACCCCACCCAGGCCCTTAGCTTCCAAAAACAAAGGGTGGGGAGGGGTGTAAGAAAACAGGAGAGAAGCAAACGGCGTGCAGACAGGGAAGCGGAGGCAACGTCCGGAGACTGGCAGCTATTGCAAGCAGGCCAGAGGACAATTGGGCACCTCACAAGTGGGGTGAGCAGCATCTCCTGGTGGGAGTCCTGCTTGGAGCTTCACCGGGACCTTGGTAGCAACTAGAAGAGGAACAACCACCCTGAGACGCCCCTCAACCCAACCAGCATGAGAACTTTCGGAAGGAGGCGCTGGTGGTCTGCCACTTTGCAGACTGATAGACTTTTGCTTGAACTAAGCATTGAAGGACTGAGTATTAAAGTTGGAAGGATTGATAATGAATCTCAAGCTCAGATACTTTGGTCACCTAATGCGAAGAGAGG